TTCGCTCATGACATCATTGAGGTGCTCAAGCTCCAGCGCCCCGACAAGGCGGTGATCCTTTGCTGGAGTACTTATTTGATAGTGTAGCTTATATTTACTGTCCCTGATTTGACCTTTCTTCTTGAGCAGGCTGTTTGGCTTAGAAGAAAGTGTGGCAGAGGCAAGGCTTGAGGAAAACAGTAACAAGTTTATTGGAGTATAACAGGAGGATAACATATTCAATGTTACTTCTCTAGAGGCACACACTTAGTTGGATACATTGATAAGGTTTCTTGAATAACTTTAGGTACTAAACAAATTTCAAAAGGTTTCTTTATGCAGATATCTCCTTCTTTGACAACTGTACTAGTAAAACAAATAAGTCTCTTGACTTATTTAGCTGTATTGGCTCCAAGCCAAACCTTGATTCTTAACTAAGGATCAGTCACCCCCTGTAGCTCTATCACTACAGGATTCCTGTTGGATTTCCACTTCCACACAGGATCGACTATCTCTGTAATTACACTAATTACAGATCAGTTCCTGGATCCTCTCACTGCAGGATCCTCTCCTGTAACTCTTTGGTCACAGACTGACCACTTTCAAACAGCTGCGCTGTCAAGTGGCAGTTGGCTCCGCCCCCCATTGCTATGGCAACTCAGCTAAAGGTAAGCCAAACCAGCCACCATCTCTAACAAAATATAATTCTACATACTTACCTTTATTAACTATTGTCTAAACAACACATAACTATAGGAATAAAAACACACATCGTCACATACGTAGTAACATGAGAGCAAGAATAAGAGTAAATGAAGGACTAACAAAATACTTGAAAACAGAAAGAGGAGTAAAACAAGGCTGCCCTCTATCTCCGCTGTTATTTGCATCAGCAATGTGACCTCTGGCAGACAGAATACAAAACAATGGCAGGATAAAGGGAGATCAGATTAAGAATGAAGAACTGAAGATAAATCTTTATGCGGATGACATTTTATTAATAATGGAAAACCCAGTAGAAGCAATAAGAGAAATACAAATAATTCTAAAAGATTTTGAAAAATACTCAGGACTGAAAGTCAATATGAGCAAATCAGAAATGCTTATATACAATATGGGGGAAAAGGAGCAGAAGGCGCTGCAGGCAAAAATGGGGGAAATAAAAATAATAAGAAATAAAATATTTAGGCATTACTATTACAAAAGAAATAACCAAGTTAAAAGTGGCCAATAATAAGAAATAAAATATTTAGGCATTACTATTACAAAAGAAATAACCAAGTTAAAAGTGGCCAATTATGGGGCAATATGGAAAAAAGTTCAGGAAAAAAAAGCCTGGAGGGGTAAGCAATTAAGTATCCCATGGAAAATATGCATAATTCCCAAATTATCTTTTCCAAACTATATCAATAAAAATAGAATATAAACCATTAAAAATGGGATAACACTTTGAGAGAATGGATATATGGGAAAAGAGAATCAGATTAATGAAAAAGATTCAATACACCCCAAGGAGAATTCTCGGATGGGGGTTTCCAAATCTACAGGATTATTATGAGGCTTTCCAATGAAGAGCACTGCTAGAAATAAGTTTAAAGGGAGACGATAAATGGATAAAAGCAGAGAATGAAATAAATGTAGGATGGAGAAAATACGGGTAGTACACCAGAGATATTAACACAATAAAGAAAAATCTAACAGGACCCAGAAAGGTAGCATATAAAAAACCGTTGGCAAAAACGATGGGCATATAAAATATCAGGAAAGATTCCCATTAAGAGCATGGGACTCCCCGAAAGGTTAGCAAACAACTTAGAAGGAAAGGGATTCAGGAGGGTAAAAGATCTGTGGAAACAAGAGGGAGAGATCATTCATTGGCCGGAGTTTTTGGAAAAGGGGGGAAAAGAAAATTGGTTAAAATTAAGAGGGATTTGGGGAAAAGTAAAAAAAAGAGGGGGCACAGCCCACTGAAGAACTAAAGGTTGATAAATTGCTAAGTGCAAGAGAAAACTCAAGTAAAGGAACAGTGGCAAAAATATATAATTTAATGGTAGAAGAGAAAGAGTTTATGATGAGAGCAATAAGTAACAAATGGAATGCAGTTAAATCATTCCAGACACAAGAAAGGCAAGTGCAATATTCTTTCTTGCTCTTTCTTGCTCTCCTCCTTTCTTGCTCTCCCTGCTTGGCCACTGGAGGGCAGCAAAGGGCTGCAGATCCGAATCTCAAGGCAAGTGCAATATTCCCATGTCCACCAGAGGGCAGCAAAGGGAAAGGCCATGGGGGCTGAACCTGGAATGTCACTCATCTATTATTTAGCCACAGCTAATAATAATAATAATAACAATAATAACAATAATAATAATAATAATAATATGATCCTGGGTGTTGTAGTTTCGCAAGGCCTTTCGCCTCCTATGCCTAAAAGTGTGGGTACCTCCCTAAACTACAACTCCCAGCCTCCCATGCAAATTCTATAATTAAACTGCACCTCTGCCGCAGCTCAGTGTATGGCAGCCTGGGAGATGCAGTTTTCCAAGGCCTTTCGCCTCCTCTACCAAACTACAACTCCCAGAATCCAATAGCAATGAGGCATTGAAGTTTGAGTGGGGCTCATCCAGCATTGCCCCCTACTAGAGAGCAATGGGACCGTGGCAAACTACAGATCCCAGCAGCCCACAGCACGGAGCCACTGCAACCTGAAGCGGTGCCCAAGCGTGCCTTCATTGCACCGTTGCGGTGGGGTGAGTCCCTGGTGTGATCTAGCAGAGAAGTCCTTGCAGAAGTACAGCCTTTTGCTATAGAACCCTTGGGAGGCCTAGTTCAACAAGGGTGCAAACCAGACAGTGCTGGGTCCATATGCTCAACTACACCTCCCAGGGTCCCACAATGCAGGCAGGCCATATTATTATTATCATTATTACCATTCCTAAAGATTCCTATTGATGGTTATGTGTGATTATTATACAGGGTTAGTCAAAATGAATAGGCCAATAAGAAAATTAATTTTAGACGAATGTATGTTTATTGTAACCAAACTACAGCTACGTAGCGACAGATAAACTATCAAAGTTTTGTCTCACCTTCAGAGATGTTCGATATGGGCGCCCCGTGTGACACGGCAGATGTCCAAGCGATAGTCCAGTTCATTCCACATCCGTTGCAGCACATCCGACGTAATGGCATCGAATGCAGCAACGTCTGGGAAGGTGTTCGTTGAGGTCCTAACCCTAACCCTAACCCTGACCCTGACCCTGACCCTGACCCTATCCCTGACCCTGACCCTATCCCTAACCCTATCCCTAACCCTATCCCTAACCCTAACCCTAACCCTATCCCTAACCCTAACCCTAACCCTATCCCTAACCCTAACCCTAACCCTACCCTAACCCTAACCCTAACCCTAACCCTAACCCTAACCCTAACCCTAACCCTATCCCTAACCCTAACCCTAACCCTAACCCTAACCTAACCCTAACCCTAACCCTACCCTAACCCTAACCCTAACCCTAACCCTAACCCTAACCCCTAACCCTATCCCTAACCCTAACCCTAACCCTATCCCTAACCCTAACCCTAACCCTAACCCTAACCCTACCCTATCCCTAACCCTAACCCTAACCCTATCCCTAACCCTAACCCTAACCCTATCCCTAACCCTAACCCTATCCCTAACCCTAACCCTTGAAATTCTCGCTGGACCGTAATTACTGACATTGTTTTAGCAAATGTCATCACACAAAACGCCTTCTCTTTGCTTGATTCCGCCATTTTGAAAACAGCGACCCCTAGCGACGCCTAGCGGCATTAACGTACATGTGTGTTGCTCAAAAAAAACTTTGATAGTTTATCTGTCGCTACGTAGCTGTGGTTTGGTTACAGTAAACATACATTCGTCTAAAATTAATTTTCTTATTGGCCTATTCATTTTGACTAACCCTGTATATATATATATATGTATGCCTGTCTGATGCTGAGAGCTCCTCCTCCTCCTCCTCCTCCTCCTCCTCCTGCTTCTCCCAGTGAGGACAACCCTGGGTCTGTGGCGGAAGGGGAGAGGCCGGAAGTGGGCGGGGCATCCCTCCTGGCCCCTCCCTCCCCCCTCCCTCCCTGTGGCGCCCTCTTCTGGTGGAGAAGGGAAGGCGCCCTCGCCTCTCTCTCTCTCTCTCTCCTTTCCGAGATGCAAATGAGCCCCGCCAGAGGGCGGCCAATCAGGAGCGCGGGGGAGGGCGACGTCACTGCAGGCCCCGCCCCTTCCGTTCCGGCCGCCATTTTCCCGGAAGAAGCCTCCTTTCTCGCCCAGGGAAGAAGCCTCTCTCTCTCTCTCTCCTTTGGTGTCTCTCCGGAGAAGGTCTGTCTGTGTATCTGTTAATATGTCTTCGCTGGGGAGCCTGAGGTAGGCCTGGTGTGCCTCTTTGTGGGCTGAGGGGGTCCCGCTGAGGAGGGGTCCCTGAGGAGGAGGAAGGAGCCTCTCTCTCTCTCTCTCTCTCTCTTGAGGAGGGAGAAGCCTGCCTTGGCGGAGGGAGGAAGGAAGGAAGGCTTCGCCCAGGAGGAAAGGCAGGGCCAGGCGGGGGGACTACAACTCCCAGCAGCCAGGGACAGGCCTCCCCAAACCAGGCCTGTAGGCACAGCTGGGCAGGGTGGGCCTGTGTGCCAAGGGTGGTCCAGGTCTCTCCCTGGCTGGGTTCAAAGGCTCTCTGGGTCAGGGTGAACTACAACTCCCACATTCCCAGGGCTGTCACCCCCAACCCCAGCCAGTATTCACAGTTGGCCATGCTGACTCTGTGTGCCAAGGGTGGTCCAGGTCTCTCACTGGCTGGGTTCAAAGGCTCTCTGGGTCAGGGTGGACTACAACTCCCAGACTCCCAGGGCTGTCACCCCCAAGCCCAGCCAGTATTCACAGTTGGCCATGCTGACTCTGTGTGCCAAGGGTGGTCCAGGTCTCTCACTGGCTGGGTTCAAAGGCTCTCTGGGTCAGGGTGAACTACAACTCCCACATTCCCAGGGCTGTCACCCCCAAGCCCAGCCAGTGTTCACAGTTGGCCATGCTGACTCTGTGTGCCAAGGGTGGTCCAGGTCTCTCCCTGGCTGGGTTCAAAGGCTCTCTGGGTCAGGGTGAACTACAACTCCCACATTCCCAGGGCTGTCACCCCCAAGCCCAGCCAGTATTCACAGTTGGCCATGCTGACTCTGTGTGCCTAGAGTGGTCCAGGTCTCTCACTGGCTGGGTTCAAAGGCTCTCTGGGTCAGGGTGAACTACAACTCCCACATTCCCAGGGCTGTCACCCCCAAGCCCAGCCAGTATTCACAGTTGGCCATGCTGACTCTGTGTGCCAAGGGTGGTCCAGGTCTCTCACTGGCTGGGTTCAAAGGCTCTCTGGGTCAGGGTGAACTACAACTCCCACATTCCCAGGGCTGTCACCCCCAAGCCCAGCCAGTATTCACAGTTGGCCATGCTGACTCTGTGTGCCAAGGGTGGTCCAGGTCTCTCACTGGCTGGGTTCAAAGGCTCTCTGGGTCAGGGTGAACTACAACTCCCACATTCCCAGGGCTGTCACCCCCAAGCCCAGCCAGTATTCACAGTTGGCCATGCTGACTCTGTGTGCCAAGGGTGGTCCAGGTCTCTCACTGGCTGGGTTCAAAGGCTCTCTGGGTCAGGGTGAACTACAACTCCCAGACTCCCAGGGCTGCCACCCCCAAGCCTAGCCAGTATTCACAGTTGGCCATGCTGGTTCTCTGTGTGCCAAGCGTGGTAAAGGCCTGTCACCAGCTCAGTAGGGTGCTCTCTCCATAAGGATGAACTACAACTCCCAGGTACCAAAATAATAGTAATAATAATAATGTCCACCAAACCCTTCTAGTGTTTTCTGTGGGAGTCCCGTGTGCCCTGTTCGTTTCAATTCCATCATGGGTGGAGTTCAGAATGCTCTTTGATTATATGTGAACTATAAATCCCAGCAACTACAACTCCCAAATGACAAAATAAATTGTTTGAGTAGTAGTCACTCCTTGGGTTAGTAGGTATCTTGTGGCCAAATTTGGCAGCAATTCGTCAAGTGGTTTTTGAGTTACGAACATTACATTTTTATTTTATTTTCAGGGGTGATCTGAATGCAATATTCCTGCATCTTGGCAGAATGGGGTTGGACTGGATGGCCCATGAGGTCTCTTCCAACTCTTGGATTCTATGATTCTATGATTTATATAGATATGAAATGTTTACATAAATATTTATTATAAATATTTATTATAAATATATAAGAATATCTATTATAAATATATACATATGAAATGTCTATATGAATATTTACCTGATTGTTGTGGATATTTCTGTAAATTGTTTTGGAATATTTTCATGATTTTTGCCGAAATATTTTCCCGAATTTTGAATGGCGGGGCTCAGGCTTGTTGTTTCCCTTGCTGCTTCTCAGTTACGACCGTGTTTCTCAACCATCTTAATTCCGCGACCCCTTCATACAGTTCCTCATGTGGTGGTGACCCCCAACCATACCATGATTTCCGTTGCTACTTCGTAACTGTAATTTGGCGACTGTTATGAATCGTCATGTCGTTATCCGATATGCAGGATGCATTTCCATTCACTGGACCAAATTGGGCACAACTACCCAATAGGCCCCAATTTGAATACTGGTGGGATTGGGAAGGGATTGGTTTTGTCATTTGGGAGTTGTAGTTGCTGGGATTTAGAGTTCACCTACAATCAAAGAGCATGCTGAACCCCACCAATGATGGAATGGAACCAAACTGTGTTAGCAGTCAGACTCTCCAGTCTGGGCACAGCAAGCGTGTGGTTTCAAAATAAACAAACGCAGGCAGCATTCTTCTAAGGTAGCTTTACTTAAAGCGTCTATACACACAGAGACTACATCATGGAACTAAAAGATGGCGACTAACACACAGTACAAGACATACAGGCAAAAGTAAACATCCTGTCCTTCAAGCTGGGTAACTCCCTTTTTCTTCTCTGGGCAAAGGAATTTCTGTTATCTCTGTCTCAAGGTTCTTTCTCTCTCTGCCTCTAATAACAATTCTAACACACAGCTGAATCCATCTTTGAAATGCAATACTAATACATTGTAATACTAATGCAAACACATTGAAAAACATACATACATATGAAATAACTATAACTACTCTGACAATTCCCCCTCTTTTTCAATGTGTTACAATACCTCTCTTACATACATACATGTGGTTTGCATAATAGTAACTTCTTGACTTTTAATTCTCAACTTCAATATTCACTTATTCTTACTCTTTAACTTTACTCTTCACTCTTACACATTTGTCTACTATTTTAACTTCTATAATAACTTCATCATACATTTGCTTCTCTTAACTTCTCTTAGCAATATAATAACATTTCTATTACATACAATCATGTCTTTGTTTGTTTCTATTACATCTTAAACACATATAATACTTCTTCCATATTACTCTGCTTTGCTTCATTATAACTTTTCTACACACAATAACTTCTTCTCATTACATAATACATTTCTGCAAACTTATAATATCTTAGTACATACAATCATGTCTCTATACAATTCTGCATTTCTTCCTTAAGTACAACATTCATTTGTTCTCTCAATTTCTCATGTTTGTTGGTGGTTAGTGGTTTTGTCAAAATGTCTGCTACATTAAATTCTGTTGGACAATACTGCAATCTCACCATTTTTTGTTCAATCATTTGTTTCACCAGTTGGTATTTAACTCCTATATATTTAGTTCTATTTTTTAAATTTTCAGTTTCAGTCATTGCTATACATGCTTGAGAATCTTCTTTAACAACAATGGGTGTCTTACATTGTTCTCCTACATCTACAATTAATTGTTGCAACCACTGCAACTCATTTATTGTCTCATTCAGAGCTACATACTCTGCTTCTGTGGTGCTCCGTGCTACACAGTTCTGTTTTCTGGATCGCCATACCAACATGTTTCCAGCATACTTAATAATCATTCCTGATACTGATTTACATTTTTGTTCGGTGGCGAAGGAACTATCTGCATAACATTCAATATCTTCATCGCTGTCTCCAAATGTTAAACAATAATCAATGGTGCCTTTTAAATATCTCAATATTCTTTTTAAGGCAATCCAATCGATATCTCTAGGTTTTGCTACTCTTCTGCTGAGACATCCCACAGCATAACTAATGTCAGGCCTGGTATGGTTGGCGATGTACATTAGGCTCCCAATAACTGAATGGTACAAATCTGGTCTTTCAAAAAGTTTTTCAGATTCTTGATTTACATAATCCACTAACATTGGTGTGGATACAATTTTTGCATCTGTGAGTTCACATTTTTCAATCAGTTGCTCTATTTTTTGTTTTTGACTCAAGTGTATTTTCCCATCTTTTGTTTTATTTACTTCGATTCCTACATAGTTTTTTAGCTCACCTAAATCTTTTATTTTGAATTTGTTTTCAAGTTCCTTTTGCAACTCAGCTATTTGTTGAGAATCGTTTGTAATTAAACACAAGTCATCTACGTACAACAGAATTCCTATCCAAGCATCATTTGTTCCTCTGGTATAAACACAAGCATCTGCAACACTACGTTTAAAGCCCAATTTACAGAGTTCTTCATGAATACAAAGGTTCCAGCAGCGTGCTGACTGCCGTAAACCGTAGATTGCCCTCCGTAGGCGACAGACCTTCTTTTCAGGTTGAAAACTAAAACCTGGGGCTTGTTCCATGTATATATCCTCTTCTAAGTTGGCATTTAAGTAGGCTGTTTCAAAATCGAAATGTCTAATCATGAGTTTCTTTCTGGCTGCCAATGAAAGCATTAATCTCAAACTTTCTGGTCTTGCTGTAGGCGCAAATGTTTTGTCATAATTTTCATATTTCACTTGTGTAAACCCTTTTGCAACCAATCTTGCCTTATATTTTTGATTACCATCGGGAAGTGTTTTTCTTTTATATACCCATCTACAGTCTACAATTTTCTCATTTTTGGGTCTATCCACAATATCAAAAACTTCTTGTTCCATCATAGAATTGAACTCAGTAATCATGGCTTCTTGCCACTGTTCTGCATCTATACTTTCAGTGGCTTGTCTATAATTTTCTGGCTCCTCACTTGTTATTAGTGTAGTTTGGTAAGATACTGGTTTACCATAACGGACTGGTGCTTTCCTTACCCTACTACTTCTTCTTAACACAATTCTATCTGCGCCACTGTTTTCTTCTTCCTGATCAGACACTGGTTTATCTCTCTTTTTCCTGTCTCTCAACCTGGACCGTGGTGATGGAACATTTAGTACTTCTTCACTATCAGATAGCGTGGAGTCATCTTCACTACTAGTATCTATATTTCTAA